TTAGAAAAAGAGCTTTTAAATTAATTTCTTAACTTGCTGATGAAAGAGCTATTTGTAACCAATTGCCTTGTTCATCGGGCTGACTTTATGAGCATAAAGACTTCAAAACTACTTCTCACTACATGGCGTTCATTCTGACAGAAAAGCCTACTTTAGGCATAAGCATTATTGTGATAAAATTTAAAGGACACCAAGCCATAAAAATAATTTTTTAAAATGTCAAAGACTTAATTAATTAACAACTGACCTGCTAATTTCAACAGGCCTTACTATTTCTACTTGCTCCAAATATGAGTCTAATGAAGCTTAGATATAGGGCTCTGTCTTTGTGCAGGCCTCTTCCATGGCTCCAGCCTCTAGAACCAGGAGCTAAACTTCCATTCTTTATAAATGTTTCCAGTTTCAGGTAATTTGTTATAGCAGAAGACAACAGATTAAAGTAGACCCTTACCTATATGTTCATATGTTGTTATAAAATGCATAAAAATATTTCAAACATGATCGATTAAGGATGTTGGTCTTTCCACTTTAATTATCAGTCATTCTTGCCCACCTCTCCGGTGGCTGGTATGACCATGAGAATTTTGGGATTCAGCACAGGGCAAACTGAGTTAAGCATACATTGCTATGGTCTAAAAGTTTGCACTCTCTCCAAATACATACATTAAAATCCTCACCCCAAGCCAGGCATGATGGCGCACGCCTTTAATCCCAGCACTCGGGAGTCTCAGGCAAAAGGATCATTATGAGTTCGAGACCACCCTGGGCTACATAATGAGTTCCAGGTCAGTCTCAACTACACAGTGAGACCCTGTCTCAAAAAAAAAAAAAAAAATCCTCACCCCAGATGAGTATTAGGAGATGAAGTCTTCATGAGAAATAAATTTCTCTCGTTTACAAATCAACAGAGTATTTTGTTATAGCAGCCAAAAAGCACTAGGACATGTACTTACATTTGGATCACTGGTATCTAGTTACTGATATCAAGGCACTTTCAAATTATTACCAGCAATTGTACGTAGGCATGGCTTCCAGGAAGGAATATTCCTCCTTCCTGTTTTGCCGACTTTTCTGACATCTGGAGTTGGAGGTATATGGTCAAACATATTATCTGAACCAGAAGCAAGCAAGCAATACAGGAGAAGCTGCCCTGTGCAAAGCTTTTTAAATAATCGGATTTATAAAATTAAAAAGGAAAGGGACTTTGGTATTCATTGTTACCCCATATTAATCAGTTTTCCATCACTGTAACAAAATATCTGAGACAATCAACTGTAGAAGGAAGAAAGATTTATTTTGGGTCACAATTTTGGAGGTTTTGGTCCTTGTTTGGTTGCCCTGTTACTTTTAGGCCTGTGGTAGGGCAGCACCTCACAGAGGGGGGTGCATGGCCCAGAGAAGTTGCTCATCTCATGGCCCCAACATGAAACAGAAAGAGAAGAAGAGACTAGGGTCCCACAGCCCCCCTCCAGGACATTCATTTATTGACTGGAAGACACCACACACACACACACACACACACACACCACATGCACACACACACACACCACATGCACACACAGCTCCAACGCTTAAAGGTTCCACCACCTCCCATTAGCACAAACTCTAGGGAACAGATTTAACACATGGGCTTTGGAGGCACACACTCCAGATCCAAACCATAACACTTTGTCTAAACTGAACCTCCCTAGTGTCAGGAACACAATCACAAAGGCAGCACAAGAAAGTATAAAACAGTTCCAGGAATCTGGAAGATTTAGAGCCATGCAAAGCAGAATTTACCTTAATTCTTGTATATGTATACCATAGTCCTAGAGCACAAAAGCTCATATGGGAAACAAGTTTAGTCAGAGTTCTTTCACATTTGAAAGGCATTTCAAAATTTAAAGGACAAACAAAAATGAAATTTTTGAAATAATCATTTAAAAAAGCCAACTTAGATTCACCATGTAAAAGAGGAAAGGGTAAAACTGTCCCTTTTCTCTATGTGGAAATATTGCAGGCTACGTTACATCAAAAAAACAAAGATTATAGAGCATGTCAGGTGGGCAGATAAGAATTTAATGTATGACTCCAAAATCATAGCCAAAAAAAGGAGAACAAATATAAACATGTGTCAGGCAATTTATTAAAATATTGTCTTGGATTTTGTGACTTTATGTAATTTTTAAACTTAAAACTCTTGTAATTTTATGATTTCTTATTTTTAATACACATGCCTCATCACATTAGTTTGGTATTATTTTCTTCAAAGGGGTCTCTGTCTTGATCTGTTCCTGGTGCTATAACAAAATGCGTGAGACTGAAATTTATAACAAACAATTCATTCTGTATGAATCTGAAGGATGGGAAGTCCAAGACCAAGTTGCCAGCAGATTGAGTATCTGGCCAGGACTGCTCCCTGCTTCTGAGATAGTGCATTCTTACTGCATCCTCAGATATTGAAGGGGCAAAAGAGAGGTGCACTGTGTTCTCATGTAGCAGAGGAGGAGAGAGACCAGGCTTCTAAGGACCTTAACCCCATTCAACAGCAGGGGTCCTAAAATCTTCTAAATCCCACCCTTGGCACCATCACCTTGGGAATTAATTTCCAACATAGGACTTCTGGAGAAACACATTCAAACCACAGAAGCCTCCAGATGATGATATACAGGTGCACTTGTACTTATGATAAGGTTACATCCTGATAAACCCATCATAAACTAAAAACGTGGTAAGATTGGCAAGATTCATTTGGACTACAAAACATATTACACGGCTCAAAATTCTTTCCCATGTCTGTGCCCAGTCACTCTCTAAATCCACAGAGCACTTTATGATTAGTTTCATGCACTTCTTTCCGGAGTCCTGCATATTCTTGGTCTCCAAATCTTCAGTTTCAACCAACATCAGATCAAAACACTGGGAAGGAAAAATTGCAATTTTATTTTATTTTTTAATTATTTTGGTACCAGGGATCGAACTCGGGTCCTTGTGCTTGTGAGGCAGGCGGTGGCACCACTGAGCTAAATCCCTGGCCCTTGCAGTTTTATTAAATGTGTACAGACCTTTTTTTCCTCTATCAGACTTAGCAGTTTCCTCTCATGTTCTCCCTTATATTCTCACCTTATAGCATAAATTACAACCTAAGTGTCAGAAGAGAATTCTAAATGTCACTGTGCTCCTCCGTACTCAACACCTGGAACAGGAATTTTATTTATCATTTTCATATCTATGAAGCACAGTGTTGTATTTTAGAGACCCTAAATAGTTGGCCCAAAGTGGAATAAACTATAGCCATTAAGATGGTAGCATAAATTTACAGTAACCCCTGAAACTTTAAAAGAAAGATAACTGAGTTATTCAAAAACCTAGCATTGCAGCTGTGAAAAATGTGACCTCCTTTATATTGAATGTAAAATGGACATAATTACTTGCTGTTTCTACATGATATAACTCAATTTTTTCCCTTAAGCTTCTCAGAAAGATATATATTCATTCATTAAAAATCAGTGTCCTTAGCAGAGAAGACCCCACATTCCCTTCAGCACTTCTCTGGGGAAGTCAGTATTCATTTAAAAAGTGAATTTAGATTTTAGGAGTTAATAGGGGGCCAGTGTTGTAACTCAGTGGTGCAGCACTTGCCTGTTGCAGGAGGCTCTAGGTTTTATTCAGCAGTGTGTGTATATGTGTGTGTGTGTGTGTGAAAAACATGGAAGGGCCAGGCAGCAATTCTTAAAGTTCTATCTCCACCACCATGAATCCCAAATGCTCTGACTTCATCACCTAGGAACAAAAATTTGTCAAAGCTAAGTATTCCTATACACCAAATGACAAATGTGGCTCCTGGTATAGAAAGACATTAAACGTTTAAATGCATGCAATTAATCTCTTCCATTCTTTATCCTAATCAGGGTCTTCTATGATTCATAATTAGGGGGTGTGGTTGTCAGTCTTTGTTCTATGTGCCATTAAGTTCATACTAAGTGGATCCTTAGTACCCTAACTCTTTTACTGCTTTATTTTCTTAAAGATTTCACAATGATGTTGAAGTGCAGAAATGTCTCACAGTATGATGCAGGACAGTGAAGGAAAGAACTTTTCACACTGGATTAAAATATAATTTAGATCTCTGTCTCTCTCTGCTTCTGTCTGTCTGTTTGTCTTCTGTCTCTGGCACTGGAGAATGAATCCAGGGCGCTTTACCACTGAGCTTTTCCCTTTTAAAATTTGTTTTTATTTTTAAGCGGGGTGTCAGAGTAAATTGCTCAGGCTGATTTTGAAATTGTGATCCCTCTGCCTCAGGCTCCTGAGTAGCTGGGATTACAGGTGTGTACCATTGTGCTCAGCTGAATTTTTTGTTTTCCAGAATACTTCTGGAAAATTCTGATGTGAAAGTGTTTTAAAATTTAAAATATTTGGTTGTTAATTTTTCAATAAATACAAATTTAAGATAAAGTAAAAGCAAAGCATAGCTCTATATACAACACCTATAATTGCATACATATAATTGGAAATGTTTCTTTACATTTTTAAGGAAGTCTTTCATTTTTTTTAATCAACTCCTTTTCCATTGCCTTATTATGGTTCCTGAAATATACTCCTTTTGCCTGGCTCACTAAGCACTCATTTTTATAGAGCAAAATATACACTAACCTTAAGTATTAAAAATAAGATAATAGAAGCTCCGTGTAAGTGAAATATCACTTTTATGATGAGCTATTTGAGGACAATAACTTTTATCTGGTGGGTTTTTTTTTTTCTTTTTTGGTACCGGCTATCAAACTCTGGTCCTTGCGCTTCCGAGGCAGGCGGCAGAACCACTGAGCTCAATCCCCGGCCTTGAGGGCAATAACTTTTAATTGTGCAGATACTGGCAGGAAAAAAAATTAAAAAGAAAATCAGAGCGATCAGTACCTTCTGGATGACTAGAAACAGTAGGACGACGCGCTCGTGAAATGAGACCTCAGATTCTGTCCGCGCCCGCTTTCCTGCTTTTTATCCAGCCGCCGTTTCCTCTTTCTTTCGCGCTCTAGCCACACAGGAAGCCCCGCCCAAGGGATGCTGGGCTCTGATTGGCTCCTTTGAAAGTCTACGGGTTACCGGATTGGTGGGTCCGAGCCCCTTTAGCGCGGTGAGTTTGAAACTGCTTGCACTTGACTTCAGAAGCTGGCACGGGAGGTCCTGTGAGGAGAGACGCAGGCGAGGTAGCTGCTGCCGCGGCCGCCGCGACGATACGCCGGGTAGAGTAGCCGGGCTCAGGATCTTGCTTCTAGGGCGTCGCTTTGGCCGAGCGTTGAGAAGCTGGTGGCCTTCCGGAGGCCAGGCTGGGCCGCCGGGCCGAGACTTTCTCCAGAGGGTCTGGGAAGCTGGGGGCTGAGGGAGTCTGGGGCCTGGTTGCTTCTCTCCGGAAGAGGCTGCGACCAGCCCGAAGGGGCCCCCGGAAGGCCTCGATTTCCGCGCCGGGC